ATTTGCTGTAATTGCTGTAGGTAATAAGATTAATTATAATAACTTTTCTGATAGCACATTATAATAAATAATAAAATATAAGATAGAATTATTAAAGAGAGGAAAGTTTATTAACATTATTCTTATGGAAAATAATAATGGATATTTAAAGTATACGTTGATAATATATATATAAAATTACTACAAATAATAAAAACAAATAAGATAACATATTAACAAAATAGAATAGTAATAATTGTGGAATTTTTTTATAAAAATAAATAAGCCGAGGGGGGGTGTTAATATAATTGTTATTATATTAACACTAAATATTAATGAAGATTAATAGCATCGTTTAAGTATGAAGCCGTTAACATTGTAAATACATCAAATCTCTATATGATTACACATTCTTTAACCTTCTGTGTTTCATTAAATTAGGTGGAATTTATTCCTTCCCGAGTTCCGACTGTACATTAAGCACCATTTCAGGCACCCAAAAGTGACCCAGTCTGTAGCGATGTTTGTAACCACCGACGGTCTTTTGCCAGGTAGCCATTGACCGTTTTCACTTTCATAGCTCTATGGGCTGTCACCCATGTATACTAGTCATCCACCATTTGCTTCCTTTACAAAGTTCTTGCCGGTATGGTTATCCATATTATGGATATAACTAGTCAACTATATTTAGGAGTGTATTAATAAGCCTCACGAGTTCACCTAAACATTTAGCACAATTTTATTTATGCTTGGATAAAGGCAATAGCCATTTCTAATCCAGTAAATGCAATTATAAATGCAAATGGAATAATACTAATTATTGCTAAAACAGGCCCTCCTATTACAGCTTTCCATGTAAATGTTGAGAAGATTTTTAATAATACATGACCACCAATCATATTAGCAGTTAATCGTAACCCTAAACTTAAAGCTCTAGCTAAATATGAGATTGTCTCAATCATTACTAAAACTGGTACTAATCCTAAAGGAGTTCCAGCTGGTACAAATAATCCAAAGAATTTTAATGCATGAGTTTGAAAACCTAAGATAGTAACACCAATTAAAATAGCTACTGAAAAACCTATACCAAATACAAAATGAGAAGATGGTGTAAAAGAATACGGAACTAGACCAATTAAATTAGTTAATAAAACATATAAGAATATAGTGTATAAAAAAGGTAAGTAAGCTTGTCCTTTTTTACCAATAGTTGAATTAATCATATTTAATATACTTCCAAATAAAGATTCTTGTAAAAGTGCCCATTTTGATGGTACTACTTTAGAGTTATTTAAGGATAAATAACTCATTGCTAAGATTAAGAAAGTAACTATAATAAGATATAACCCAATATTAGTTAATGAAAATTTTGCACCTAATAAAGGACCTGAGATATAAAAGAAATCTGTTACCTCAAACTGTTCAAGAGGGCTGTTAATATAAACATTAGAATTTAAAGTTGACATGTTAATAATTATAATTGTACTTACTATTATATATTCATAACGGTAATAGCCACTTTAATAAAGAATGTGTTAACCTTTAAACAGTCTCCTAAAAGGTAACTTTATAATAAAAAAATTCGTTACGACTATGAAATTAAAATTTAAATTAAAAATAAAAAGAAATAAAAATATTAATAAAATAAGATCTTCAATCATATAAATAATCGTAATCTTAAGTATAAAACTTTAGAAATGTAAGAAGACTTGAGCTTCGGGTCCCCGGACCCGATGCAGCCCCCCTCTGGGGGGCAGCTATATTTTAGATGATTTGAGTTATATTTTAAATGATTTAAGTAAATTTTGTAAATTACAGTTTTAAGTAAAAGATTTTTTTAAGTAGATTATTGATGAAAACAGTATTATTTAAATTTGTCATTTTTATAAATATATTTGTACTTATTACGAGTTGTTATAAAAGACTTGTTGCTATAAAAGACTTGTTGTTATAAAAGATGAATTATTACAGTAAATAGTAAATTTTAAAATTAACATGTTAATATATAATTTTACTTATTATTATATATTAATAATATTAATAACCACCACTAGTAATTTAATTATTCTTATTAAATTAAAAATATAAATAATAAAGAAGTTCTCTAAAAAAGTCGTCTTTAAAGTAAAGAAGGCTTTATTTTAATTTTCAAAAATGGTAAAGTATTATCTTAATAGAAATAATGAATATAAAAATATTAATGATTGTAAAATAAAGAAAGTTATCAAGATTTTTAAATTTAGTTAAAAATAATTAAAAAAAAAGGAAAAATTTATTACTTTGTTATATAGTAGTTAAAATATATTTATTGTAATATAATTTCTTATTATTGATATATCGAAAGATAGTAGAATTATTACTATAAAAATATGCTACAACTTTTGATTAAGAATTAAAAATCTTATTTTTTTATTTTTAATTAATCTTTTATTTTTCTTTCTATTTTTCTGTCCTTCCCATAGCTTATACGTGAAAATTTTTTTATAATTTTAAATAAAAAGCAAAAAAAGGGGAATTGTGGGAAAATTAAATTTTAATTACTTTTCATAAAATATAAATAAAATTTTAATTACTTTACATAAAATATAAATAAAATTTAATTTGTTTTGTAACTTATGAAACATTAATGATATTTATAAGATTCTATTTTTAAGAGTAAATTTTTTTTTATAGATAATATTAGAGAATGGAATTATGGTGTAAATAATAATTTGCATATATAAGAATATAGTAATATTTTTATATAAAATGGAATTAGAAAGTCCAAGAAAATTTTAAATTTTTATATAATGAATACTTGTTATTTTATAATAATATATTATATACGTGTTTTTTTTATTATAAAGTTATATGTTTATACCAAAATAAAATAATACAAAAATCGTTAACATATGATTCATATAAATACTTAATAACCTATGACTTAATTAATAAACTTTATAAAAAAACAAAAATATAGTTAGCCGAATCCTGCCTCTTTGAATGGCGGAATGCATCCTTCTATTTAAATGTTTTTAATATTTATATTAAAAACTCTTAAGGGGAAACTTTGGTCCTTCGATCAATACATTGTTTTATAAATAAAGCTGCCCCCCCCCTTGAGGGGGGGGGGCTGCATCCCCCCCGGAGGGGGGGAAGCTTTTTAAAGATTAGAATTAATTAAATTATAAAGAATAAACTCTCTTTTCCTTTTTTTATAAAATAATAAACTCCCCTTTCCTATTTTTATAAGATAATAAACCTATTTAATTAATTTCACTTTTTTATAAATAGAGTTGTTGGGGGTTAATATATAATATTTGTTATATAGGATAGCCGCTTGTCTAATTAGCAAGATAGGGGTGTTATTTAGTTTTAATTTCTAAATATATTAACACCTATTTGTCGAAATTGGTATACGATGTTGAATTAAAATCAATTGCTTTATAGCGTGTGAGTTCGAGTCTCACAATAGGTAATTTATTAATTTTGTAATATTAGAAATATTTATTGTTAATATAAAATCATTTGTAGTTGTTGGGTGTTAAAATACGACGTTCGTCATATCGAATAGTTCCCGTCTATTCCCTCCAGATACCGAAAGTTAACTTTTTTTGTTCGAAGAAACTAAGAATATTGATAATTTCCATTGTTCTTTAAATATTTATCCACTTCTTATATATCTCATAATTAGTTGATGATTAGTATTAAAATATGCTGCGGCTTTTCTATTTTTTTTTAAAAAAAAAAATATTATTTTTTATTTATATAAAAAAAGCAGAACTAAAAGTATTAACAAGTGAACCTTGAGTATCATAAACGTAAATAGCAGTTTCTTTAGTAGCACTAATTTTAGCTTTAGATATTATTGAATGAGTTTTACCAAACATTGGATGATTTTCACCTGTAATACCATACATTGGATGACTTTCACCTATTCTACCAAACATTGGATTCTTCTCGCCTGTTTTACCATACATAGGATTATTCTCACTTGTTCAATTAATATTTTTCTGAACAAAACTCATTAAAGCTTTAGACTCTTCTGTATGACTATAACCTAATGGGGAACCAGCTATCTTATGTAAATTGTACTCAGGTTCTAAAGAATCTATATGAAATTGTTTACGCGAAAGTATTAATTTTCTTGTGTCTAGCTTAGATAAATCTGTTATATTTATAAACTCTAAAATAGCTGTCCCTACGGGGCTGCAAACCCCTTCAGGGGGTTAGCTAAAGAAAAAGCGGAATGAGTGTGATGAATTAATGCTCTGGAGATATAATTATCCAATTCTTTTAATTTTAAAGGATTATAATATTCTCTCAACCGTCTACATAAATCTACAGCACTACCAACATATTTTTTACCTGATTCCTTATGAGTCCATAAGTAAATTCCGGCTTTCCTCTTTGTATCGATTAAAATAGTTGATTTATCCGTTTCTGCATTAGTATAAATTATTATAGGGATTAATGATAATAACATATTAGATTGTTCTAAAAAAGAAAAACCACCCAAGATAAGAGGGATTTTTAAAAATATACTGCCTAGAATTAATATTTCTAAGCTTTGTGATAAAATAATTATTTGAAATAACCCTTCTAATAATCCTACACTACAAACAAGTAAAAATGTAGCGAATAAAATTATTAAAAAAGCACATCTGTAAATTAAGATTGTTGATATATAAAGAGAAGCTAGTGGTACTGTTCTTACTAAAAATATAAATTCTAATAGTAATATATTTATTTATATTACTAATTTTATTATTATTTTCTTCCTTATAGCCATATATCGCTGTATTGACCTCTAGATCATTAAGCTGAACTTTTGTTTTTGAGAACAGAATTCCTTAAATAATATAGTAGGAAGTTAATTGAAAAATATTACAAGGTTCAAGTCTATATAAATAATGTTGTTCCCGTTCAAGAATCAATTTACGAGCTTCATTCTTCGGTAAATTCTTTATGATCTACATACTCTAAAATAGAAAGAGAAAAAGCGGAATAACGGTGCATTAGAATAGTATTATATATAAAAATGGGTTCTAGTCTAACAGGTAGGACACTTAATTTTGATTTAAGAGATTGGTAGTTCGAATCTACCGAACCCAGAAAATTTAATAAAATATTTAAAGATTTATTAATTAATTTAAACTCTTTTCTTACTTAATTAGATATATTAAATATTTAAGATCATATTTTTTTTATAAAAAAATATAGCTGTCCCCCCTTGGGGTGGCTATTTAGAAATATTTAATTAATTTTAATTTAAACTAATTATTATTGCCCGGCTGGGGGCGACGTGGCCGCCCCGCCGGGACCCAACGGCACGTTGGACCCTTACTATTAAGATTTCTTTATGGCTGATATAGATAAGATCTATTTTTCTTTAAACAATTTCTCACTCTTAATATAATTAGAGATAGTTATTATACTACAAGAAAAATATTTTGCTGTTTTTATACAAGATACAAATTCATGCTTAAGAATTGTTGGGGGGTATAATTAGAATATACAAAACTCTTTTACTAAAAGGACTCTACTCACCTGTTCTTTCATGTATCAGATTATTCACCTCAGATATTTTAACTTTAAATTCAATAGAATGAGTTCGACTATAAAAAGAATTATTTTCTTCTTTTTGTGCTTCACTTATTAAAATTTTAGTCTCTGCTCCGCGGGCACCATCCCCTCCGGGGGGTAGTCTTAGTAAAATACGTTTTACCGAACATAGGAGGATTTTCTCCTAACATTTTACCAAACTTGGCTTTTCTCATTAAAGTTTTAGATTCTTCAGTATGTGGTGTTCTTAAGCAAGATCCTGCTGTAAGATTTATATTATAATTAGGTTTCAGAATATATATATAATGTTGTTCATGTGAAATAATTAATTTATAAGTTTCTTTTTTATCTAAATTCACTATATTAATATATTAAAATATTAAAATATAGTCAGAGTAAATGTTTAATAATTATGAAAAAGTATAGTCTTATGAATATATATAAATTTATAATGATTTAAATAATTTAATCTTAATAATTCTTTAATTGTCTAGATAAATTTACTGAAGAATCAATATATATTTTATTTGATTCCTTATGAGTCCATAAGTATATCCCGGTTTTCTGTTTTGTAGTGCTTAAAATAGTTGATTTGTCAGTTTCTGCATTAGAACAAATTATTACAGGTGCAACTAAAAGACCATCTTGAAAAGAAGGAATAGATGATAATAAC